CCTCGTTATAGTTTAAGTTGATCCACCTGTGTCTCCCTCGTTAGCCTCCTCGTTTGGTTCCCATTTATTCTCCTTGTGTCTGTCATCCTGTGCTGATCCGTCATTTCTCATTGTGTGTGTTTCGTGTCTGCATGTGTGCAGCTTTTGTGTGCAGCGGGGTGGTTTGAGTTTATTTTTTGTTTCATTTTTATTATCAAAATAAATAACCATTTCTCCTGCACTTGAGTCCTCGCTTCATCTCCCCGCACGCACCGTGACAATGCTTGCATTACTCACTGAGCTCTAACATATAGTTTAAATATGCAAACATAATCTCATGATAACTATATTGGCATTCTTTCAATTTAAGTGAATGTAAATTAATATAAAATGCCTTTAAAAAAAACGTAATAATATTAAATATTATATAAAATATTAATATTATATATTTTTATAATATATAAATATGTGTGCAGCGGGGTGGTTTGAGTTTATTTTTTGTTTCATTTTTATTATCAAAATAAATAACCATTTCTCCTGCACTTGAGTCCTCGCCTTTAAAAAAAACGTAATATTAAATATTATATAAAATATTTATATTATATGTTTTTATAATATATATCAAAATGCTTATGAAAAAATATATAATTAATATATAAATATTTATAAATAAATGAATACATACATACATACATACATACATACATACATAAATAAAATGCAAATAATCAAGGGTAAAAAAATTTAAAACCACAATCAGTCTAAAAGGTCAAAAATCATTTATCAGGACCACATGAAAATCAGCATCTAAAACACCAGCTTAAAAGTAAAATTATTGAAATTTATGAGTCAAACCCTTAATGCAACATTTTAAATACATCACACTACACTGTAAATGTTTTATCAGTTAACCTAAAACGGTGGATCACATGGAAACAGTCAAAATTTAGAAATATGTAATATTACTAAGTCAGTCTGGCTACATCAAATGACCAAAAAGTGATTTCAAGGGTCAGATCAGTTAGAAATAGTTCCTTAAGATCACAACTGCAAACTTTCACCTTTTGCATGCTATTTACACAAAAACACTTCATTTAAAACCACCCATAGTGGGAAAGAGAATCCCATCATCACAGCACTCATTAGTCAAGTGTTATCAGGAGACTGTCAGCGAAAAATGCAGGAGGAATGACGTCTGTGCAGGGTGAGCATGGTGCCAGGTCACTCCCTCACACACACACTCTCTCTCTCACACACACACACACACACACACACACACACACCTAAACAACTGATTAACAATTTTACCTGCTGACACCTTCGATCATGTATTTGAATCTGTAATCTTAAACAGCTCATCAGATATTTAACAGAAATGCAGATGTTGAGCAGGATGAACAGACATGAGTGAGAGGGAAACTATGGCCTGGTTAAATGTGTGAAACCTCATCAGATACGAGCAGCGTTCACCGCTTTACTTCCTCCCACTCGATCTCTGCATTCCTCAACTCGTCCTGAGAAACTCACACTCAAACGCGACTGTTTCTGACGCTTTATGCATTATAAAATCCTGAGACTGAGGCTGAATTTCTCCACTGAGACGGATGAAGATCTGTGTGAGTAAATCAGAGACTTCATTGTGTTCACAGGAGCAATATAATGAATATATATTGAATATAATGCAAAGCATTCACCGCTTTACTTCCTCCCACTCAATCTCTGCATTCCTCAACTCGTCCTGAGAAACTCACACTCAAACGCGACTGTTTCTGACGCTTTATGCATTATAAAATCCTGAGACTGAGGCTGAATTTCTCCACTGAGACGGATGAAGATCTGTGTGAGTAAATCAGAGACTTCATTGTGTTCACAGGAGCAATATAATGAATATATATTGAATATAATGCAAAGCAATGCAGAATGTGTCTGAACTGAAGTGGATAGTGGACAGTCACGCTATTATGTTTCATTTATGATGCTGAGAGTAGAAATTATAAAGGAAACTCTGGATTTTTATTGAATGCAAATGTAACTAACTTGTGAATGGTGATGGCAGAACACTTAGAAATGTATTAACTTGTAAAGTTGTTCAACTTCTTCATTAGCATGTAAATGATATCACCTATGTTTAGACGCTCAAAAAAAGTATGCATCAGCATTATTTTAGTTTTTATTAATAGTTTGCATTAGTTTTTATTTTTATATTTTCTGTATTGATTCTAATTTTAGTTTAAGTTTTTAGCAATTTTGTTGTCTGTCATTTTTATTTAATTATTTTTTTTAAAAATATGTCTATATCGCTTTTATTTATTTCAATTTTAGTTTTAGTTATTTTAGAAATGTTGCCTTGGCAACTAGCTGAAAAAAATATATGATTTTTATTTTATTTCAAGTAACATTTTGTTGTTGTTGTTTAAGTTTCAGGTATAATAACCCTGGTATGCATTATCCAAAAGTGTTATGAGAAACATAGTAAACATCACATAGTGGTTTTCAGTTTGAAGCAGTTGTATTCTGATTCACTGACCTTGAATTTCACATCTGAGTTATATTTCAAAGACAATGTTGGTGGCAACATTATATCCTGTGGAGAACAGTTGAAACAAAATTGTATTTCACTGTAAAAAAAAAAAAAAAAAAGTTACTGCCTTAAAATTTTAAGTCAAATTTAAGTCAACTTTTTAAGTCAGTCAACTTAAGTTTATCAACTTTAAGTCATTTCAACTTAAATTACATTAAACAGATGATGCAAGTGACGTCACACTATGTTGTGATGTTTTTCTGGACTGCTGTGTGTGTGAGAACACAGGATCCTCCAGCATTAAACTCCAGCAGCGTTGAGGACATCAGCACTAATGCAACATCACCACTCTGTCTTCCCATCGGAGACAACCCCTACCCTAAATGTGGTATGAAAATGCATTGTTTTATATATATATATATTTATAGAGAGAGAGAGAGAGAGAGAGAGAGAGAATGCGCTACTACTATTGAAAACTATAGATTTTTTTTGGGACTGAAAGAATGTTATGAAATTAAAGGGGCCATATGATGCGATTTCAAGTTTTCCTTTCTCTTTGGAGAGTTACAAGCTGATTGTGCATAGATAAGATCCCTGAAGTTCCAAAGACTAAAGTCTCAAAACCAAAGAGATATTAGCCTTGTCCAAATACCCACACTTGCAGTCTTGGCCACTTGAGAGCGCGTGCGCGCGACAGGAAGTAAGTGTGCAAGTCTGTCCCATGTCTTCAAAATGCCAAAGTGCAGTGCCCTTAATGGATACTAAATCCACCC